CAACTTCACAACAACCATTAACCCTGAAATGCAAATTCGTATTAGCCATATTGTGAAAGTATGGACTCATACAGAGGTCAAAAACTCAAATATACATAATGGAGGACCGTTCAAACTTTTGGCTTGGCATTCCATTTGCTGACTCAGAGACTTTATGGGGGGTATTTCAACTGTTGTACGTTCAAATACAATATACTGGTGACAGAGACGGCCAGATGAACTGAGAGCAAGAAGTTTACAAAACCAATAGCACTTTTCACGGAAGATGCTCTTGAAAATTCGTTCGATGAAACCTGCTGGGGCTCCTCAGATTGGCAATACGACAGCTTCCATCGAGCAGATTTTGGCAGCAGGTCAAGTAAGTTGTTTCTTGAACTGACTTCTCTCCGTACAAAATATTGACAGTACGCCAGTTTGATATAATATTGTATTATAACTTACCTTTAGAAATATCGGTCAAGTTTTGTTTGTTATATTTTGTCTGCTTCAAGAACTTTCACCATCTCGGTTATACCAACTTTCTTATGCTTTATGAAAATATTTTGGTTCAGCAAAGACTGCTATTCATAACATTTTCCATTGTTTGTATAAAGAACTACTCTGTCAATGAATTTGTATTGTTTGTGGTGTAAACTTTGTTATTGCTTCAATTCGAGAGATACTCAATACGTCCATCTTTTTATTCTAAGTAAAATGTCATTTCCGAAAAATAGAAGCGTAAGATGTTTCAAAAGGTTTAATGCGGTGGCAGATGTGAAGTTAAATTCACCAACTCAAACAAACAGTCAAGTAAGTGTTGTCAATGTCAAAAAGAGATGTTGAAGTGGGAAACCATACGAAGACGAAGATGGTATAACAATAGTTCCTGTTAAAGAACAACCAACATATCCGACCGTTAGCAGAGACTTAAGTTCTGTTGCAGATATTCGGAAACGACTACCAGACAACTTAAAGACAAACTCTAAAACTCAGGAGAAGATTTGTCAAGGCTTTGGATATAATGTTAACTTGTCGAACACAACCCTGTAAAGTGAACTCATATGTCATTGCACCTCATGAAATTTGAAAGAACTATTGAACTTTTGACAGAGGCAGACGATATAAACATCCAAAGAAATAGAACCCGACGTTAGTTGCTGTGGTGTGTTCTCTATCATATGATCATTGACAAGATATACGTTATGAAGGAGTGAAACGTTGAACTTAAAATATAGTTTCCCAGACTCATAAAAATATTTGACGACCAACAACATTCATTAAAATTTACTTGCTAGTAAATGGCAGAAGACATAGTGGTTTTTTACTATTACGACTAAAACCCTGAGTCATATAATTCTATAACAACAACTTAACAAAGTCCTCAAGGACGATATTGTAAACTGACCCTTAAACACGATGACGACTAAAGCCTGTTTTTGCTCTTTTGACACCAGAAGACTTTGTTTGTTGGAATGGTAAAAAATACTCCTTTGAAGATACTTACTCTACGCAATATACCACAACAGGTTTTGTTAATCTTATTTAATACTTAAGGACGGAATGCTAAGCATGTGCTGCATCCTTAACATAACCTCCCGCTACCAGAAGCCTTTGACGCCAACCCATACCAGCTAATGAAGGTTGACTAAACTTTGGTTTTGGTTTATCTTCAGTTTTTGGTTTTTCTTCTTCTATCGGTTTTTCGTCACTTTTCGGTTCCTCTGACTTTACCTCACTTGCTGGAACAGTAGTGTCGTTAACATCTTCATAAATATCATATGCCATTTGTTTTTGTTTTCCTTTCAACTTTTTGTGTTTGTTGTAAAGTTTAGAATATTTCGACTCTAAGTCAATGAGATGTTCTATAATGAACTGTTGGTCAGTGAAGAATACCTTCCCATCTGTTGTCTCGAAAGCTCCTTCAGACTTCAATATTTTATTTGTGAGAGTCTGTTTCTTTTTTGAGATACTAGCCGTTCCATTTCTATGAAAAGTGACTTTATAGTTAGGGTTTGTATTTCCAGACCTGGCACTTTCTATTATTGAATTTTTCTCTTCATCTGTAAGTTCTTTGACAGGTTTTGACAATGGTTCTGAACTTTTTGTTTGTGGTGTCAAATCTACCGTTTCAACTTCTTCCGTCATTTCATCTCAGTAAAAAATTTTAGTTTGGTTTGTTTTCAACTGGTTGTTGTTGTTTTTTAAGTCGGTCTAAAACTTCCTGAGGTATAGGAAGAACTTGACAAACACGTGGTTGTGTAACTGCTGGAAGTCGACAAATCCATCTTGAGCCCATTTGTCTCAAAGCTATATTGTTCATTTCATCTCAGTAAAAAAATTTACATTCCCCACGTTTGAGGTGGTTGCGGTTGGTTGTTGTTTACCCATTGTTGTGCATGGTTATATCCTCTGTTAAAGAATCTTTCACCTTGGTCCATATAGTGCCCTGCTTGGTTATAGTAGTCATTTGCTTTGTTATAGTAGTTTCCTGCTTGTCTTCCTACATTGTCCATCCATCCTTGAACTTTTCCTCTTGTTTCAGGATTTGGAATAAGATTTGCTGCATCTCGTGCTACCTCCCAACCTTTCTGTACAGTTTGTATAATAGGTTGTGCTTTCTCTTTAAGTATACCTAATGTACTCAAAATCTTCCTTCCAACTCCAAATACACCTCTGGCTATTGTTCCCACTGCGGGCAAAAATCTGGATGCAACTCCTGCTAATGCGCCAAATAAACCCATTTCTTATGGGTTAAAAAATGACGAATCCAAACAAGGACCCCTATGTTTCTAAGGCAACAAAGAAAGCACTCATGGTAAAAATCTTTAGTTCAACACCAAATGCTTGGTTTATGGATATCTTGGAAAACATTCCGAGATATAGAGAAGATGGACCACCATACTGGCTAATATTTGTCGGTCAAAACACAAGATACTGTGAAGCCATACCATTACAGTCCAAAAATATTTTAGATGTCTTAGCAGCTTTGACAATATTTGTTGACAAATACCATCCAACAAAACTGACATCTGACTGTGAAAGTTCTTTCAAATCAGATGATGTAAAAAACTATCTGCGTTCAAAAAATGTAAACCAATATTTCATTGTCGACCAAAACCATTCTGCTCTTGGTGTCATTGACAGTTGTATAAAAATCTTAAGAGACTTAAACCAACCACAAGGTGGTGAAGCAAATGAAATGTCATATGACGACAAATATAGACACTTCTCCCAGGCAAAGATGAGACAAGTTTTAAATATTTACAATAGCCGTAAACAAAAAGGTTTGGGAAACCACTCCCCCGAAGAAATGAAAAACAACCCTGACTTAGAGAAAGACTATATATTTAATAGTTTAGTCAAAAGAGACAAACAAGAAAGAATGCCAGGCTTCAAACTTAAGAAAGGTGACAAAGTAAAAATAGAAATACCTAAACGCGACCCATATGAAAATACTATTGACTATGACAACAATGGGAACTCGACAGGTACTCGCATTCGTGTTCGTAAAAATAGAAGAAAGTATACAAGAGAATATTATGAAGTTTTAGGCAAACATGGCAAAATGTACAGACTGCAAGCAGAAGATAAAACTACTATTGTCAGACCTCGTTTCAAACTTGTCAAAGTTCAAGGTGGTATACTTTCAAAGACAGTTCCTAACAAATATAAGACAACTCCTGACGAATATGCTAAAGAAGTTGAAAATGACGACTAAGCATTTCTATACCATGCGTAAACTGTCATGTAAGGTGGCATGTAGTCTTTACTCTGTCCCGTTGTTTCTGTATATCCTGTAATGCGATGTGTATGGCTTCCTCCTCCCTGAGTGTCATCCAGTAACAATTTATAGCAAACTTAACGTCGTCTTTAACATCATATCCTTTACCTTTTGTCATTCCTGTCCAATCCCAATATCTATGCTTATGCCAACCTGCTTCAGCTGTAGTTAAATTTATGTAATGACTGTGTGCAGGTAGGTTTTCACCTGAAATCGTTTTACTTCCACCTGTTTCCTTTGAAGAGTTTGCACAATACAAAAACCTGTCGACTATTTGAGTCCAAGTTCCAAAACCAAGTACTACTTCTGGTCTGGTAGAGTTCATTGACGTATAAATAGAACCTATAGGATATACTGTTTGAAGTATTTCTGTCTTTAATGTTTGAAGCTCTGTTTTGTCTGCTTTTTTATATAACTTTTCTTCAAGTTCATTTACGTCAGAGATGCTATGTCTATGATATTTTTGTGGGTATGTTCCTTCTGTCCATGCGAAAATACGTTCTTTTGTTGCATCTACATATCCTTTTATCCATGTCGAGTCTGCTTTTGTATTCCTTAACTCTGTAACACCTTTCTCAAGCTCTTTCAACTGTTGTCCATCTTCCATTAAACCTCTGGTATGACTTGAAACCGTTTGTGTCAACATATCTACAGTTTCTTTGTCGGCTTTAAGGTCTAAACATCCTGAAACCCACCCTGTATTGGCTTTACCTTCTAAAATCTTCGATGTCCGTTCATGGTACCATTCAACCCTTTTTATAATTTCATTGTCTTTTTCATCCACATATTCCTTATCTGCCTTCTTCACTAACCCACTAGCCAGATATGCTAACTCATCGTCAACATACTCTTTGTCAGCTTTGTTGTCAACATCTGCTTTCGTTGCATATGTTGCATCTGCTCTGTCATGTTCTTCTTGAACTTTTTCAATGACATACTCTTTGTCAGCTTTGTTGCCAACATCTGCTTTCAAAAGAAGTTCATCTATAGGTTTCTCGTTTAAAGTTCCTTTTGTTGGATTTATACAAACAGTATGGTTCTTACTGTCTTGAAACAGAAACTCATCTGTCATTGGGTTTATCGTCAGTTTTAAGTTTCCTTCTTTCAATGACTCAGATATCTTAGAATAGTTTGAAAAGTTTGTTGTGTTCTTATTTAGAGCTTGCAAAATGAGTTGTCGGTTGTGTTGTATTTCTCTCATAGACGCTGTTTCTTTCGACATTTTTATTCTAGATAAAATATGCTTTCAATAGAAAAAGAAAATTCAAGAGTTGCTACAACTAAACCATTAGATGAACTTTTTACGAATGTCGGTCAAAAGTTTGAGACAGAGACCGTAAAGCATGAAGGCTATCGTTTTGACTACCCGTTAAGATGGCTAAGAGACCCATCCGTCACAAAAGCTATTGGCTTTCGTAGAATGAAATTCATTTCAGAAGCCATACATGGTTTCCCATTTACGGTCGCTTTTGAAGTTCGATACTATAACAAAGAAAAACGTACGTATGAGAAATTTGAACAGGGAAAACTTTTACAAGTTAGTTTGCTTGTAAACTTAGAAACAACTCTTCAAGCTTTTCAAGAAAAAATAAACGATATCTATCTCGAATATGCAAAACAGTACAACATTGACGAAGGAGAGTACCATCTCGATATTATATATGACAGGAAAAATGCAACTGTTAAAATCAATAGAATAGAAGACCTTGGAGAAGACGTTTATATTTCTACAAAATATAACAACTTGGCATGGTATAGATTTTTGAGGATGTTAAATCAGCCTGCAGAATATCCAGTACACCCGAACTTTTATGAAGTCGAAAACCCTAATGGAACATATGAAAATGTTTTCGACTCAGATGCTATTATAGTTCATGCTTCATTTTCTGGCGCACAAAACTCTTTTTTATGCTTGGCAAATGACTTTTACGAAAAACCTACAAAGCTATATGAACCACCGAGTGGAAGTATTTCAGACTTTCAAGTATGGTTTACTACAGATGGAAGAAAGAGAATAATTCCATTATACCATGCGTTTTACTTAGAACTTAGTTTCATATACAACTACTATCGAACGGTAAAAATATAATTTTTTAATACGGTTGAGGTGTTGGATTTGGTTGCCAACTAGACTGTGGTGCAGGTTCAGGCTGTTGTATAACAGGAGCTTGCTCTTCTGGTTCAGGGTCTTTAGGTATAATACCAACGAACTGACCTACTCTTTTACCAATATTTTTGACTCCGTTCCATACTCCTCTTCCGACAGATTTTATTCCATTCCATATACCTCTTCCAACATTTCGAAAGAAGTTTCCTATTCTTCCAAAGAAACCCATTTTACTATATGTAAAAATCTAATGTCCGCCTAGTCTCTTACGTTTCCTGTTGAGTTCCATAGCATTCTTTAACTGGAGCTCATACATTCTGTTTCTCCTCTGGTAGAAAACATACTCTGGGTCAACTCCTGTGTTCGCGTCATCTGCATAGAGTTGTTTATATCCCACTTCAGGGTTTGTATAAAACTCTTTCCATCTCATATTTGCATACCATGGTGGTAAGCCTAACGCAGCGTCATTTGACATGGCAGTTTGCATTTGTACATCTGTTGGCACTTGACCATAGTTTGCCATTGCAGTTTGTATTCTAACTTCATTTGGAATATTCTCTGGGTTTGGTTGTCCAGGTTGCTGTGCATTCGCTAAGTTCTGTGCGTCCATTTAATATTAGATAAAAATATCTCTTACGAGTACATATGCTGAACATTTGCTGGTATTGGTTCATCTTCATATTCTCTATATCTTTCTGCCACGTCAAATAAGTAAATGACACAATGGAAAAAACCTAAAACAAGTAGTCCTATTTCAAACCACATTTACTTACCAATAAAATTTCTTTGTTATGACACTTTCTCCAGTTTATAGGACCTCTCTCATATTCTATCCTATCGTATCTAAACTCATAGTCATGTATGTCCTCTAACCATCTCATGACACTTTCCAAACCACTTTTATCGGATGTAAAGTAAAAGCATGGATGGTTATGTAAAACGTCTAAAGTTTCTAAAGAGTCTCTCAAAGTCCAGTCTACTTGGTATTGAAAATCCCATGTGTTATAGAACGGCGGGTCCACTATAAAGAAAACATTTTCCTTGTCTTTATATTTTTCATACAACTCTGTCCAATGACATCTCACAAACTCTATACCCTCAATATATTTTTCTATGTTCTCTTTGAAAACCTTTGTATAGTTAAGATATAAAACTTTTGACATAAGTGTTTCAATGTCATGAACTCTTATAGAACCACTATACAATAGTCTAGAAGATATACTATCCCAGTCAATATACTCTGCCTTTTTCAAAACCTCTCTCACAATATTTTTCTTATCTAATGGTATACGTTCCATCTTACCTATAGGTATCTTTTCTTTTAACTCTTTCAATATATTGTTTGTGTCTGGAATATGTTTGAGACGGTTCATATAGTTGTCGAAGTCATTGCATATAATCTTTGAGTCAGGAAATATTGTATGGCACAAATGAGATATATAGAAACTTCCACCGAACAAGTCTACAAATGTTAGACCATTCGGTAGTTTCTTAAGTTCTCTCAATAGAATATCTTTACATTTACTCTTATTTCCAAAGAAGGGTAACGGTGGTTTTGTAAAATTCATTTTATATATATAATAAAAATGTTTTTTCCTGAAAAGTGACAGATGTTTTATTGTGACTTCTTCGTAAAGACTTTGTCAAGACTTCTTCGTAAATGACCCAAAAATATATTTTAGGGTAGAAGGGTATATCTACCCCGTTTTCTACCCTCTTTTCTACCCTCTTGAATTTTCATGAATTTCTTCGTAAAGACTTTGTTAAGACTTCTTCGTAAAGACTTTGTTGAGACTTCTTCGTAAAGACTTTGTCAAGACTTCTTCGTAAAGACTTTGTCAAGACTTCATCGTAAAGACTTTGTCAAGACTTCATCGTAAAGACTTTGTTGAGATTTCTTCGTAAATGACCCTAAAATATATTTTTGGTGTAAATTTCATGAAAATTCAAGAGGGTAGAAATGAGGGTAGAAAACGGGGTAGATATACCCTTCTACCCTAAAATATATTTTTGGTGTAAATTTCATGAAAATTCAAGAGGGTAGAAATGAGGGTAGAAAACGGGGTAGATATACCCTTCTACCCTAAAATATATTTTTGTCTGATTTACACTCATTGTCTATGTTTTGTAAAGACTTTGTCAAGACTTCTTCGTAAAGACTTTCTTGTCTATGTTTTGTAAAGACTTTGTAAAGTTCTTCATCGTAAAGACTTTGTAAAGACTTTCTTGTCTATGTTTTGTCAAGACTTCTTCGTAAAGACTTTGTAAAGACTTTGTAAAGACTTCTTTGTAAATGTTTTGTCAAGACTTCTTCGTAAAGACTTTGTTGAGACTTCTTCGTAAAGACTTTGTTGAGACTTCATTTATACTCATTCATCCTCAGGGCTAGAAGGCACGAAGTGCCTGGAAGCCCCACTCCCTTTTTTTTTTTTTTTTTTTTTTTTTATATTCATAAAGATTTTCCAAAAATATGATACCGCAAAATTAAAAAAGTGACGTCTTGAGTGGAGTCAAAGGTCGAAATTGCTAGCTAAATGTTTTTTAGCGAAATTGCGTATTGTACGTTTTTTTCGCAAAACGAAACCCTTAATAAAAGTGATTGAGGTCATAGCAAAACGGCTGTTTCAGTCATTAATTCTTAAATACAATGGGTAAAATTCAATAGTGTCTGTGCTATCGTTCAATTTGAAGGTGTCTTTTGAAACCGCAAGACACATTGAATTTTTGAATAGTGTATTATGGTTTGACAGACACCAATGAAAAAAATAAAATGATATTTATTTTAAATATATAAGATCCTTATATAAAATATAAATATTTTATCGTTTTATTTTTCTTGTTTTAGAAATGTTTTTTATTGAAAAATCAATAAAACTAACTCCAAAATAAAATTTTTGATTTAAAGACACTATGATGACACCAGGCAAATCTTCCAAGACACCTATCGTCGGGAATCTAACAACCCTAGCGCCAGCGGCGCCGCCCGTGCCTCCGGTGGCTCCCACTGGTGGGGAGGAGACGATAGAAAAAGATATAAATTTTACTAAAAAAATTGAATTTTGGAAATTCTTTTGATTTTTTTGAATGATTTACGAAGAGATTGAACACATTTTGTACTATGAAATATCGTTATTAATAAATTTACTTCTTAAACATCTATTAAAATCGCAATTTTGAATATTTTTATGATTTTTTTTGACCCGATCACTTGCGCCCGCGCCCACTGGGAGGGGCGCTTGTAAAGTATTCAAAATCAATGTAAACATTTCAATTTTTGCTCCCACCTCCCATTGGGAGGGGGGCATATATCTTGTAGCGTTCAAGTTCAAGTGATGAAAGTGCATAAGAAAGCTCCTTAATCATACCGATAGAAACAGCATTAGGGGCGCCAAATGGCGCTCGGTGATGTTTCCCATAAAAGCTTAATTTCAGGTATCCATAATCATAACCTGTCAGACGCAATAATTCATTAGCACACAATCATCATTTCTCAATCAAGAAACGAAACGCACGATTGATTATGCTGGCCATTAAATTTTCATATCAAATAATTTACTACTTCAAGAAAAATTAAAGACTATCATCAACCAAAGCTTAAAATTCTCAGTGTTTACAACTCTCATACTTCGAATATGCATATTTCCAAAATAGCATGAAATTTTTTTTCATTTGAGCTCATTTTCTTTTGTTCTATTAACTAATACATGCAGTACAAGCTTGTTATACGTATCCTTAATAAGTAAGGTCTTAAGGGAAATAATAAAAAAGAATTTTGCTATTAATTATATTAAACAATATTTATTTGTAATTTCGTGATAATTATATTTCTTATTACAAAGTAAAGGTATTTGATATAATGCTTGCCTTACAAAAATGTTTCCTTTGTCTTGCCACCATAGGTATTCTATTTTGTCACTTTTTGCGCCCGCCGTGCCATGTATACTGGAATATTAGTTTTCTGGAAATTTGATATAGATGGCCGTTGATTTTTAATCAATTTCTTGCGGAAAAGATTGAAATCCAGGTTGATTAAGCTCATATTCTTCTACCAGGATCATTATTATTAAGACTTGATTGATGTGTTTCAAAGAAATAGATTTTTATTACATTCCTTTTTGATTAGATATATTAATTATCAACATCATTGAGAATCAACTAGTTTCGGTATTAGTTTTAAAGAAATATGCATTAACAAAGAATACAGGATCATTTTCATGATTAAATGAGATATCATAAAATTTGGTTTTATTTATGGTCATGAAAATTAGAACTTATGATTCTCACCATTTTTTGAACAATTTTTCATATCCAAAATTGAAATAATGATATGAAATTTCGTTCAATACGAAGTCAAAAAATATGTAGAAAAATAGCAATGACTCAAGAGTTCCACTTGGGTAGAACTTTGAAGAACATAGCCTCTATGAGGGGAACCAATATACACGAAATTGAAATTTCAATCAACTCTTATAAATATTGGGTTACTGATTTATATCTTTCTGGAATCAGCAACAAATTTCGAAACCAGATCATAATAGGCGGTTTAAACCAAAAATATGAATTCAACTGTATCATTAAAGATGGAAATACATACAAATATCTTGATGGATTCTTTAAAGGTGAATATAATCAAAATCTTCTTACTGACAGTGTTATAACAGATTTATGTGAAGTTGGAACTGCCTTAGAATGTGATGATTTAATTGAATGGTTCTGTGAAAAATTCGAAATCGAAAATTATAAAATCGAAAACTTCGAAAAAATTATCATTTACAGCAACATCAAAGGAATTAATAATAAGCTTTATGATTTCATATGCCAAAATCTCAAAGAAATTGGAATTAAAAAAGTTGTCGATGCATGTATAAAAATTGGATATGATTTTGCAGAACAGTTAATAATGTCATGTCAAAAGAACAATATTGATATTTCAGAACTTTTTACTTCACTTATTGAAACAAACTCTTCTTTTCTCGGTATAATATTAAATGTAGACATCAACAAAGTTGATTTTTCAACAAAGAATCGATACAAAAGCATTATTTTCTTCATTATCATCATGGGAAGTTGTTGATCAATCTCTGCTCAAATTCATGTCTGATAAAGTAGTTCCATCAATGCAAGATGATTTTACTTTAATGACAACAGAGAGAAATGAAATGAATGCAAAAGCAGGGAAATTAATAATTAATTTAAAAAAAGAAACAAAAATTTTCAATGATATAAATCAAAAGTTGACAGATGAAAAGAATTCACTTACAGATGAAAACAAAAAACTTCAAGAAGACAAAACTACATTAACTAATCAGGTAAATGAATTAACTACTAAGATAAAACAATTGGAAGCAATTGAAGGTGAAACAAAATTTTATTACCGTGTGCCATTTGATGGAATTACTAAACATTTTGGAAATTACGAAAAGAAGATAGAGGTGGAAAACGGAAGAGATTCATGGACGTATGATTTCAAAAATATGAGAGTTTCAATTCAAGGATTTTCAATAAGTTTTAGAATTAGTAGTGGAAATGATATATCAGCTGAGGGTTCCTATGAAATATTTGCTAGCAACGATATGTCTTCCTGGGAAAAAATCAGGGAAATCAAATTTTCTGGACAAAATGAAACACGTTCTTTTAGTAATAATGTACCAATTACTCCATTCTACCGATATATAAGAATAAAACAGAGATATGTTTCATGTTATTATCCATCTTCAGCATCGTTAACAGATTTCGAAATTTTTGGCTCAATTGATAATCTCAATCATTAGAACCTTTTTCATTAGATATCCAAATAAACATTGATAATATAATTTCTAATGTGAATTATCGTAATATTATTTAAATATCAAAACTAATATAAAGCTTATTTATGCGTTATTGAACAAATATTATATAAACTTTATTCCTTTTATCAATCAATTGAATATTATAATTTGTTATAAATGCAAAATCAATTCTTTGTACAGCTCTTCATACTGATGCCTAGAAAAACTGAAAAGAAATTGTTCAAAATGAAATCTCCTGTTCATTATAGATGTTGTCATTTCTCATGGAGAGGACATCATAGTGATAACCAACAACGGGCAATCGATATTATATTGTGCAGCAGCTAATAATGATATTGATGTCATAAAACTTATACTTTCCACATATTAATAGGAATTCTATAAAAATATATTGAAAGATTTTATCGAATTTCTAATTTCAATTGGTGCTGATATAAGTACATTAAATAAAAATGGAAAAACATCTCTTCATTTTGCAACCATGCATAAATGAATATTTTCGGATTGCTAGTGCACACAGTGATGACATCAATTCAAAAGATGATATTGTGGCTACCATTCTTCATTTTTCTGCAATTATAAATAATGGCAACGTTGAAAATGCAGAAATATTAATGGCAAAAGATGCAAATTTCAATGAAAAAGACTTCAACGATGTTAATAAAATGGATCCTAAAATTAAAACCCCATTTTGCTGCAAATAATAATGCTGTGGATGTGGTAAAACTCCTCATTTCAAATAGATCAAGGAAGAATCCATCTTCATTTATAAATGGGGCAGATATTGAAGCTAAAGATAATGATGGAATTATGGCTCTTCTTATTGCAGCAATAAGAAATCCTGAAAAAAAATTGCAGAATTCCTGATATAATGTGGAGCAGAAATCAATGCAATTACAAATAATGAACTTCCTCTTCATTTTGCTGTAGAATCCAATTCTAATGGAATTACAAAACTTCTTGTTTTACATGGTTCAAATCTAAATGCAAAAACAAATATGGGATATACTCTCATTAATTTATCAGTAAAATTTTTTATTTCACATGATTCAGTTATCAATGTAAAAGCCGAAATGGAATGATAGATCTTCATATTGCTTCACTTAAAAATCCTACTTTCAATGGTGAAAAATCTAATATTTTTTTTGTCGGTAAAAGGCTGTTATTAGTCATTAAGTAGTACTTGATTCGTCTGATAACTTTATACGTTATTGTACTTATATTTCAATTGAATTGCCTCTCAGATGAATGTAATGCTAAAGACTGAAGATAAAATGTTGAATGAGTCCTAGAATAGTTATGCTATTCATTTTATTTGAAAGTTGTCTTTGATTTAGTTCCTCATTTCTTCAATTAAAAATTACTATCGTTGTTTTTAAGGAATTTTGTTTCCATTCATTATTTGTTTCTTTTTAATCATTATACAACCTTCACCTATAAAATTGCCAACAAATATAACAGAATACATTTTTTACTTTTAAAACAATGATAATGTTGGTGATTTTTCACCCAGCCATAAAAGGGGTCATACTCATAATGAATAGAGACTTATAGCCAAGTCTTGATATCATGCAGGGAGAATATACATAGATAAGCAATTATATTTTATAGTAGTAGTATTCAGAAATTCTTACAATTTACAATACAATTTTCAAAAATGGATAAAGACTAATAGCCAAGTCTTGATATCATGCAGGGAGAATATACATAGATAAGCAATTATATTTTATAGTAGTAGTATTCAGAAATTCTTACAATTTACAATACAATTTTCAAAAATGGATAAAGACTAATAGCCAAGTCTTGATATCATGCAGGGAGAATATACATAGATAAGCAATTATATTTTATAGTAGTAGTATTCAGAAATTCTTACAATTTACAATACAATTTTCAAAAATGGATAAAGACTAATAGCCAAGTCTTGATATCATGCAGGGAGACTCTCTACAAATACAAAAATTGATTATCATAAGGAAATACAAATTTATCAATTTTCATGTGAAAATTACATAAATTTGTTCTCCAATAAATAGCAATAATACTTTGAATGTTATATTAAGTAATATAGCTTCAGGTAAATAAGCTTACACTTCAAAAATATACTGTTTATTCATTAATTTTAAAAAAAGTCCAAATTATGGGCGCGTAAAGGGTTGGCGTCCTAAGGCGTCCTGATGTAAACTATTCAATTTTTGAGAAGTTTACACCATAATTGAATAGTTTATGGCGTCCTGAGAGGAGATTTCAATGGGTATGGCGTCCTAAAAAAATAGAAGAAAATGATTTTTTCTCGATTTTTCTAGAAATTGAATTTTTTAAAAAAGAAAAAAATCAAAACGTATACATTCAAGAAAGACTATAAATGAAGATTTTTCTATTTTTTTTCATTCTAAAACATCTTTTTTTGGATAATTTTTTTTAAATAAATATGTAAGAAAGATTGAAGAAAAAGTAAATTTACTTTCAGAAAATTCGTTTTACATGATGTAAGACCCATAACAACTATAAATATTCAATTATTTAAAATAAAAAAAGAAAAACAGATTAAATGTATCTCACATCAAAATCCATTGACCTAAGGATGTTAAGTTTCTGTTTTTAAAAGTTGATATTTTTTTTTAATTTTAAGAAAATTAATAGCATGTTATTAGACAATAGGAGTGTAATGATATTGACTAAACAGAAATGAGAGAATAGAGATATAATTTTGATAAGCAATATTGCAAACAAATTCTGAAGTAAAATCGCGATCAATAATTGAAAATTACGATCATGTACTGAAAAATGACGATCGAATTGAATGAATAGAATTATATCTAAGAAAAAATAAATTGTATTTAGAAGATGAACAAAGAAAGGTGTATGCTAAAAATCATTTAACAATAAATGGAAATAAAACGAAATTGTGAAAAGAAAAAAATGAAAATTGTTAAATAATATATTATTTTTTAGTCATAAGAATAAAAATATAGTAGTTATAAAAGGAATTAGACTTCATATATCAATTCTTTTTCTCTGTAGATGTGGAACGTTTGCTTTTCGATCTCTTTCGATGAACTTGAAAATATAAGTTATTATCGCTGAGAATCCTTTCCGAAATAGGAGCTTTACGTTTAGGAGGATTGTCGGATGAATTTTGTTTTTTATTGTTTGATTTTGTTGTTATGGAAGATTTTTTCTTATTTTTTTCAGAATTTTGCTTGCTATTAACTGAAACTTGTTTTGACGGCCCAACAATAGCATTTGTAGTAGGAAGAATTCCCAATAACGAGCGCATTTTCGATAATTGTTTTTCAATATGATCAAGAAGGTCCAGCTTATGTTCTAGATTACTAGACATTTGATTTGTAGAAGGATGGTTTTGATTTTCTGGTTCTAAATCTGTAGAGTCTGCAATATTTGAATTTTCGGAGCGAATTGGAGCATCTGAACCTTGATTTGTATCGGCTTGCTCAAAATTAGTTTGAATTGGAGTGGATGAATTAAAATCTGGATGATTTAATGTTTCATTAAATAATGCCATAATTTTTTCTCTTTTTTCATTAATAAACTTAGTGATCATTGTATCTTTATCTGTTAGATCGATCGATTTGAGTATATCTGCATCATGAACTGGAATATTTTCGAACAATGAACTCGATTCTATGGAACCATATGGAGAAATCTCGTTCTGAGCCAAAGAAAGATCACTTACGTTGTATTGTTTGATAGAAAAAATTGTTTTCTCAAGTTCTTTTTGAAAGCAGTCAAGAATATAATTTTTGTAGCTATCAGTGATAACGGTTTTTATATGGCGCTCGATCTTCTGGTTATTTTTGATGGCGTTATATTTATCTAATTGGATTTGAGATATCTTCTTAATAGCTTCATAAATGTTTGGATGTTTTAACGAAGAAAATTCTGAATGCATACTCTCGAGGCAATCATTAGTGAATATTGCAGTTGCATTATTATATTGAGATATTAAATTGTAGTGCGGCAACCAAACTTTGTTGAAATAATCAATATAATCTTTGATCGAATCAACTTTATTTTGATTAATTATATGCATTGTAAGTACAAATTCTTCATGAGACATGAATGGAGTAATAGAATATAGCTTAAATAAAGAATTTTGTAAAGTATTGAAATTTTTTGTATAAAGTGCTACAAGTTTCCTGTGTAAAGCTTGTTTGAAATGAAATAGGCATCCAATTATACGGACTTTAGGGAAAATTTGTTGAAGTGCCTCTATCATTCCCTTTTCAAAATCACAATGAATTTGAATTAGCTTTGAAAATTGAATACCCTTGACAGTAAAAATATATTCAAATGCCTTCTTATAAGATTCAAATGTGCGGTTTTTCATGAATATAAATAAAAGTGGTAGATATTGATTTGTTGAAGGTTCACAAATCATAATTGTTAGCATCTGTCCTTTTTGAAAATGTTTTGGTGTAATTTTAAAAGTTCCATCGCAAAATAAATCTGTGGCTTCTTTTGCAAATTGAATTGCCTTCTCAAAACCAAAAAACATCGTCTCACAATTTGCTTGAAAATCATGGCCAATGAAAAACTGCTCGCCATTTATTAAACAAAAATTAGCAATTTCATCGTCTGTAATTTTTTCTCCAACAGAAAATTTTCTGGACTTATTATAAACTTCCCTGACCAATGAATCTTTAATTAATGGGTTTTCATCAGTACCAACAGCAAGTTCTGTCATAAATTTTTTAATCTGCTGAAAAGTGCCGTTGTCTTCAGAAAATTTTGCCATTGCCTTATTGTATATTTCTGTCAGAGTCATTGATTTATGAAGATCATTTTTTTCATTTTGTAACTTTTTAAATTGTCTGCATTCGGGTATATGTTCCTTTTGTAAATCTTCGGAAACTGAACTGTTCTCAATTTTAACTAAATAACGTGCTTGACAAGAATGATCGATGCAACGGTAGTAACGTTCAATATTATTTGAATTAATAATATTTGTATGATCATGCGAATAAAGCATATCTTTGCGAACAATTGTATCAGGATATTTTCCAGTAACTGCGGGAATATTTTTAACTGCAATATAACTAAAATATCTTCTGACAGCTTTAGATTCATTTTCGGCGTATTTAATATTAAAATATTGAAGAACTTGTTTGATTATATTCGTTTTTTCATCTCTCGATGTTGATTTTTGGTATTTATCAGATTGTTCCCTGATAAATATTTTATTTTCGTCTGTAAAGTTTGCTCTTTTTTGATTAAATATAGATGATTTTCCCATTAAAAAATGAAATGATGCAAAATTTACGAAAACCGTTCGAAAATTGAATCAAAAATGAAAAGTAATACTTAAATGAGGAATTCTTTGAGATATTGGTCTTAGATTGAATGTAGCGTCATTCTTATATAGAATATATATTCATATCATCGGAAATATGATAAAAAGCATATAATAAATGTCAAAAAAGTGAACAAATAAGCAAAGATATTTTTTAAAAAACAATGAAAAGTAATACTTAAATGAGGAATTCTTTGAGATATTGGTCTTAGATTGAATGTAGCGTCACAAATTTCACAAATATAATTTACTATACAATTTTATTCATTTTTTTAAAATGGCTGACGACAGTCTGTATCAACTAACTCAACTAGTCAAGCATAATGATTATTCTTCGGATTCATTAAATCAACTTTATCAATGCATAAGTACAATGACAGAAAGATCAATTGGATGCTTGAATTGGGATAAATTTTTCAAAAAAATCACAGTGACTGATGAAGTTCTTTTACATTTTTTAGCATCCGTTTTAAACATTGAAAAGATATCAGAATGTTTCAAGGATTCTATTTTTTATCACAATATTAATCTTGAAAAATTCAGTAATTTAACTGAAACAGAACAACAAACAATTTTAAATTCCTACAAAGCGGATAAATTTACATATTACATAATGTGCTCACAAATTGTAAAATCAAACTGGAACAATTTATCCCAAACTTTAGTTAATATTGCAAATCAATATTTGCCATTTTTAGATGAAGAAAAGCAAATATATATATTTACTGAAATAACTGGCAATTATCAAAATTTTGAAATTTCAGTTGCAAACTTGTTACTTTTTTATGAAAACAATGAAGAAAAATTAAGCAACTGTTTTAATTTAACATTGTTCCAGCAAATTTATTCCAAAAATGGAATCGAGCAAATGATATTTTTTGCTGCAAATACAATTTGTTGCAATAACACTTCTATCAATTTTTACAATCTCCTTGAAATTGAAGAAATGAATCCATTTGATTTTTTTTATTTCTCAATTCAATATAAAGAGATATTAAATTGCGATGATTTTCCAAAAGTTACAGAAGTAATCACAGGTTTAATCTCAGCTTCAAATATTAATGCTATTATGCGAATTTGCCAAAAAATTTTGGATAAAATTACATTTTATAAATGTAATTATTGCCATATTACCTCAATATGGAATTTTATCACAAATGCAGCAATAATTCTTCCTGATGAAGATTTATTAATCAAATTATTAAAATTCATAGAAAAAACAGAAAAAGCAACAGATGAATTATTCGAACCGGAGAATGATTTGGGTTTCTATGAATATTTAAATTCGATTTTCTCAGATATTACATCTGCGAGAAATAAGCAATTTCTCTTGGAATTTCTAAATACCCATGAAGATGACTTCACTTATGATCAAACATTGTGAGGTCATTTTTGATCAACAAATTAATTGAAATTCCGATCAAAAAAAATTCACAAATTGGATCAAAAAAATCGAATCTCAAGTTAAAAATAAAAAATTTCTACATTTTTATCAAATTTAGATTTTTTTTTTCAAATCATGCGAATTGATTGAATAATTGCATATTTTATCCCATGCATCTAGAAGTATGTGTAATATTTTTGCTTTCATCAAGAAATTGTCGAATTTGATCTTAATTTTTTTTGAAAAATATACTTTTAGAAAAAGAAATAGTGATTGAATAGCTGCCCATGCTGTAAAAGGTTATTTTTACAAGTAAAAAAATTGTTATTTTTCGAGCAAGTCGAGGCTTTTTTACCATCTTATTTTTGAAAAATTTACGAAAAATTATATCTGAAAAAACGCTTCATTTTGATATCTTACAATGATAAAATACCAATGTTGCTGGGATATAATAGCTACACCTGGACATCTACTACATTAATGCGTATGACAGGTAAAGTTGATTTCAAAAGTATAGCCTGGAAAGATTACAATAAATCAACGATAATTCAAAAAAATTTCTTATAAGTTAACATAATAAAAATTTAATTTTTATATTTCTTGTAGTATACTTAAGTATATAATATATTTAAATCTTAGAATGAAAATTCGGGACGCCCTAGCTATTCAATTTTCCCTTAGGACGCCCATAAACCTCTCAAAAATGTGATGTAAATATCACAATTTTGAGAAATTTACACTAGGACGCCTTAGGACGCCAACCCCCTTTTTTACCCAAATTATCTAATCTTGCTTACTCTTCCTTTAAACTTCTTTGTGCCAAATTTAATATTGCCTTCAAAGATGGAATAAGGACATTAGGTTCAAAAATATTTTATTATACTCATTCGAAATTAAAAATAATAAAATTTATATATATTAATTTCATTAAATCAAGGTTAAAAATCAAAAAAAAAAAAAAAAGGTAGTGGGGCTTCGAGGGGCTGCGCCCCTTCTAGCCCCTAAAAAACCTAGAGGAGAACTAAAAAATTATATAGTAAGAAATTAAAGTTTTTATTCGATAAGAACGACATCGCTATCGTTTTCTTCTTCCTCCTCCTCTTCTTCATAGTCAGTATCTGATGGCTCTTTGTCAGCCACATGACCAGCAACAAATATTGAGACAAATTGTTTCTTTGGCTTTGTTAGCAGGAACTTTTGATGGTCGTAGAACACGAATTCTACATTTTGAAAATGTTGTGCTGAGTATTCTGTGAAATGGGAAATTGGAATTGGTTCTCCCATGCCAAAACCAGCAATGGACGCGAACAAAACATCGTCTTCGACTCTTGCAGGTTTGTCAATTGCAACAGTAGTTATTATGTGGGGTTTTCCTTCACATCCTGCAAGAGATTGTACATGATAGATTGCTTTTTCTTCCCCCTCAGGAACTGAAAGTGTGAAATGGAATGAGAGTTCTCCATATTCATTTGCTTCTTCGTAATAGTTGTATGTTGTAGGATACACCAATTGAAATTTTCCTATTCTTGTTTCCCTCAGGTGTTGTCTATATTGCTTGGGAAAACATAAAATAAATTGCTCTATAGCTTGTGTTGCTATTAGATTGGTTGTAACTGGTAATTTTGAGGCGAAAAGGTCTACAAGAACACCGGGATTTTTTATGTCGTTTTCAATTGGTTTAACAGATTCTATGACTTTGTTAAACATTTCACTATAATCTGAGTTGTCTTCGACTCCCCAATTGTTAAGAAGTTTATACAACAATTTCAGTCTTTTCATGGCGTATTTTCTTTGAATGGATTCGGGTAGCGAGAGGTTACAGTCGTCGCTTTGTGTTTCGTTACTCGAATATTGTTCAAGAGAAATTAAATCTTGAAATTGTGCTCTTGTTAACATACTTGTAGAACTATGTGAAACTTGTTCTGGTGCTGGTTGTAAATCTGTTTCAGATGTTTCTGTTGTGTTTTGAGAAGAAGAAGAACTCAAATTGTTGGACAATTTGTCTTGAATTGTAGAACTATGTGAAACTTGTTCTGGTGCTGTTTGGACAACTGTATCTGTTGTGTTTTGAGAAGAAGAACTCAAATTGTTGGACAATTTGTTTGCAATTGTAGAACTATGTGAAACTTGTTCTGGTGCTGTTTGGACAACTGTATCTGTTGTGTTTTGAGAAGAAGAACTCAAATTGTTGGACAATTTGTTTGCAATTGTATGAGGAAGTTGCTTTGGTATTATAGGAGGTCGTAAGGGTTTTGAGAATGGTGAGACATAAGTTGTAGGAACTTTAACTGCAGAGGTAGTCGACGAATTGTTTGCAATTGTATGAGGAAGTTGCTTTGGTATTATAGGAGGTCGTAAGGGTTTTGAGAATGGTGAGACATAAGTTGTAGGAACTTTAACTGCAGAGGTAGTCGACGAATTGTTTGCAATTGTATGAGGAAGTTGCTTTGGTATTATAGGAGGTCGTAAGGGTTTTGAGAATGGTGAGACATAAGTTGTAGGAACTTTAACTGCAGAGGTAGTCGACGAATTGTTTGCGACATTTTTTCTTCCTTCCATTATGAAAAATGAACTGTTTTTTTCGGACTACTCATAGAAAAGTTTAAAATAAACCGTTTTCGTCAACGGTAACCCCCTCTATTTTTTTATTTTATTTAATAGTTACCGTTGGAAAACCGTTCCATCTCAAATATCGAATGAACTATAAACGTTTTTTGTTTTCTATATATACTTTTTTGTCAACGGTAAAACTTTTTACACAACGGTTTTTGAGAGTCGTCGCCGTTGACTTTTTTGTAGAGCACTCAAAATAGTATAACTTTGTCCGGACAAGTAAGGGTCTATCGTCGCTACAGGAAAAGTTACAGGCGTTCCAAGGAAGTATACTTTGAGAAGCCTTTCCCCTTATAGAATGAGATAGGACGGTTATTTTACAAAACTGACAACACTTTGACCGAGTAGTTTTTTGTGCTGAACAAAAAGTGTCATATAAACATCTGTCAAAAACCGCTTTTTAACTTCACTTAAAATGCCACGTAAGCTACGTAAGAATATACGTAAGAGGAAGAGAGCATTGAAACATCCAATAGTAAAACTGACACCACAACAACAGTTGCAACAACAAATGATGAATGACCCCACTATGTTGCAACAAATGTCAAGCAACCCTATGCTTTTAAACCGAGTTATTGGTGCACAGAGTGGAGGTTTAAGAGCGGCACTTTTAGCGAAAATGGCAGGCTATGGTGGAGCTGCAGACGGAACAGCTTATAACCCTCAAAGTCAAATGAATTTGAGTTCACTCAAAAATCAAATAACAGATGTCAAAAAGTCAAACATAGACATACAGAAACAAATAAGTGAAAACGAAAAGAAACTAGAATATGACAGACACACAAAGAAACTCAATGAGTTAAACGTAGAGAAAAAGAAGAAAGAAGAACAACTGAAAGAACTAAGTACAGAGGAATATGCGAAAAAAGTGTCAGAAAAAGCAGCAGAAGTAGCAAAAATGGAACAAGATGTTATAAATTTGAAAAACCATACTACTCAATATAAAGTACTGAAAGATGAAGAGATAAAACAAAAAGCCCTGAAGACATATATGGATAGCGATGAGTATAAAAAAGAAGTTGAAGCAAATGTAAAGGCAGAAAAACTTTTACAGTTGCAAAACCAAACCGTACAGTATGAAAACTTAGCACAAGAAAGTAAAAATAACGACGCAGCCATGCAAAAGGCAATGAAAAGCGCAGAATATATAAAAGCTAATAATGACTGGTTAGATGCCCAAGCCAACGCTAAAGCAGCCCAACTTATAGGGTCAATAAGGACAAAAATACAAGCGGATGAAGACAGTTCAAATGAAGCTTTAATGAATGCTGACTTTAAGAACGCCTTCGAAGCTCTTCATAGTAAGGTGAAACTAGTGAACGACTTCTCATCTGGAAAGAAACTGAAGTCTGAAGGTTTCGACAAAGAGTTAAGAGAAGTAGCACAAAATATGACGAAAATAACAGATGCAGCAACGAGACAGGCAGTTCAAAGTGCCTATGACGCCGTTAGAGCAACTGTTGTGGAAAGTCAAGAAAAAGAGTTACAACAGACCAAAACAGACCTAGTAAATGCTTTCTTAAAAACGAAAAGTCAGGTAGGACATTATGCTGCAGATGGAACATATGTGCCAGCTGGTGGAACTTATATACCAGCTGGTGGAACTTATATACTAGCTAGTGGAACTTATATACCACCAAACCCTCCAAGAGAAGCACCTGCACCAGGACTACCTAAAACATTTACATCGTCACATGGACACAGACACAGGCATGCACCAAAACCAACACAACAACCAACAGTTCAAAACACTGCACCACAACCAACAGTTCAAAACACTGCACCACAACCAACAGTTCAAAACACTGCACCACAACCAACAGTTCAAAACACTGCACCAACCAACAGTTCAAAACACTGCACAGCAACAACCACAAACAGAGCAAGGACATAAAAGAAGTAGAGAACAAGGAAACCAAGAATTCTTAAAAATGCTTAAGGAAATTATGGTTACCCAGATACTCTTGACTTTAGTGACAGATATAAAGAAGCTATTAGAAAGTTCAAGGAAGGAAATACTGACCCGAACCTATTTAGCTTTATGGTTCAGCACCAAATGGGATATAATTTCAAACCTGGAAAATACAAGCTCGCTAAGGGATATGATTTAATAGCATATCATCCAAATGACATGGATGAATTTACTCCGAGATATTTGGTGTCAGAGATAAATGATAATTCAACTATCTTCATGAAACGCGTAAAAAATAGAGACGGAACGAAAGAAGAAAGGGTTATGAATGCGGATGACTTAAATAGGGAACTTGTTAAAAACGGTCTCGGAATATATGAAATGCCAGCAGATGAGGTACAAGAAACTCCACAGGAAGAAGTTCAGATACAACCAGACATGGAAGAAATAGTTCAGCAACAACAGCTAGAAGAGCCTGAAGGAAACGAACAAGTCCCTCCTTTGGAAACTAACTTCACAGAACTAGATGAAGATTTGGAACAGCCGAAAAATCTTGACCCTCAACAAGAGTATGCGGAGAATATGGAATCTTTCCAAGAGTCTAAGAAAAATTCAGCTGACATAGTAGAAGAATATCGAAAAATGTTCGCCGACATACAAAAGACTCCAACATCAGATGAAAATATTCAGCATAGAATGGAAGTACTGAAAGAAAATGTACGCAAATACAACAATCCTTTTTACTTACGACCATATAACGTTCAATCTTTGGCTGAACTCGGTGAAAATAAAAGGTTAAATTTCAACAAAACATATAGAAATGAAACATTGTTTAAAGTTCATTCAGAACCTAACCAATATGGAAACAAACCTACTTTTGTTTCTGCAGACTATGGAACTACAATGAGATGGGGTCATAAAGCTAATCCGGATAGGTGGTTCATAAACTTACAACCACAATTCCAAGAAGTTGTAGACGCAATGGAAGTGAATGGTGAACCAGATATAGCTGGTATTTTCAGCGCGGCTTTAATGCCATTGAAAGATATGAAACATGCAGATATTTTGGACCAGTATGAAATGAACATGGCTGATGGAAATATAACACCTGACGTTCTAGAACATTTATCTCAAAGAACTACACAGAACCATAGAGATGGTATATTTGGTGAAGAGTTTAGAAAGAAAGTTAGGGAGAGAGAAGGAAGAGAACCTATTGTACATGACCTTGCAAACGAAAGTTTACAAAATGTCATAAAAACTTACTTTGCAGACAATGAACTGAGAAGGGATGAATATTTAAGAAAACTCAAATGGACAGTACCAAATGAAATGTTAGTATTGAAAAACATGTTCCTTGACAAAATAAAACCAACTACAGAAATAAATGACGCAAGACTGAAACATTGGGTAAAAGCTTTCCCATTCACAAAAGATATTATTGGTAACATGGAAAGAAAACCAGAATGGCTACAAAAACATATATTTGGAAACGAGCTTATTCCATATGGACAAGCTCTGTTTGAAGAGCTTGAACCGGAAACTCAGGAAAGAGTCATGCAAACAATACGCGAAGACTCAAATACAAACTATGACAAAATCATTCTAGGATATAGGTTACCTGAGATGGGCGACCAGAGCCCAAAGGCAAAAAGGACACATGAAATTTACAACATACTAGGTGAACATGAGGCAAAGATGCAACAACTTGAAGCAGAGGGCAAGTTACCAAAAGCGACACCAAAGAAGAAGAGTAGAACAAAGTAAAGCTTGGTACGAGTGGGTTCTATTATGACAAATAAATTCAACTATTCTATATTTTTACCCATATGAAATGTACGCCGCTCAGAATATAACGCCAACAGTTTTGGATGCCATGAACGGAAATGTTTCCGAATGGTATAACGAATGCGACAATGCCATTAGAAGGTCAGAAATAGTTCCTGGAACTTACGAATATACAACTGCTGTTTCTTATGGAAACGTAGGTGAGTTTGGAGAAGGTTCTTCAACAACAGTAGATATTGCTTGCGACAGGTTTCATATTATTTCTATTGACAACTCATTCTTATACGTGGAACAAGACATTGAAATAAAACCTTCTGCCAAGTTGTCTGACAAGAAAGGTTGCAATGGAATTTTCTATGTCGGATACCAATATGCTCCAGAAGTTTTCATGGGATATAAGATATATTCTAACTCTGACTTAGTTCAAACAGTAACATGGGCAAACTATGAATGGTTCGCTTTGAGAAACTCAGTACAACCACAAGCTAGAGAACAAACAGACCAGTATGCAAATATTGAGAAAATAAGAAGACTTGACCCTAACGTTCCAGGAGTTTATGTTAACCTTTCTGGTTCAGATGGAACTGCTGCCACTAAAGTAAAACTGAAACTTAGAGTTCCTTTGTCATCTTTCCTCATCTTCAGGTTTTTAAGATACTTGCCAAACTGGGCAGGAAAAATTTCTATCGAACTTACTCCAAGCAAAAATAACTTAGTCATTGCACCAACACAAGACCCATTCAGCATTACTATAGCTGGAACTGGTGGAGCCAAGTTCTGTGACTTTTGCAAAGACAAAGTTGACTTAGACTTTGGTTTCTCAAACTTCAACAATGAAGTAAACTATTATTTCAATGCTGCTGGAACTGCTTGGGACCCAGTTAAGTTCACATGCGAAAAGTTTGAATGCAAGAGAATAGAAAGCAGACTTGCAGTCTATATGTTGGACCCAGATATTTCAAATGCTTTAGCTGCCAAATATATTGCAGTTCCACTTATGTTCCCTATACACCAAATATCTGTCAAAGACTTTGCAGGTGAAGTTGGAAACCAAAGTGCTGACCAGGTGCAAGAACAGATATTGCTTTAACAACTGCAATGAAACATGCAGATACTATGTTTGTACTGTTCAGACGAACTATAAATGACTATTCTTGTTTCTACAACCCCGGTATTAAATATCATATAAACATAGATGGCAAATATTATCCAAGAGAAGAATATTCTACAGTTGGAGGATATGAGGTCATACAACTTGACATTAGATGCTATGAACTTTAACAACAACTTCACAACAACCATAAACCCTGAAATGCAAAGTTCTATTATGCCATATGTGAAAGTATGGACTCATACAGGAGGTCAAAAAACTCAATATACAAATGGAGACCGTTCAAACTTTTGGCTTGGCATTCCATTTGCTGACTCAGAAGACTTTATGGGTGGTATTTCAACTGTTGGTACTGTACAAATACAATATACTGGTGACAGAGACGGTCCAGATGAATTGAGAGCAAAGAAGTTTACAAAACCAATAGCACTTTTCACGGAAGATGCTCTTTTGAAGATTCGTTCGATGAAACCTGCTGGGGCTCCTCAGATTGGCATAACGACAGCTTCCATCGAGCAGATTTTGGCAGCAGGTCAGTAAGTTGTTCTTGAACTGACTTCTCTCCGTCAAATATTGACAGTACGCCAGTTTTGACATAATATTGTATTATAAACTTACCTTTAGAAATATCTGTAAGTTTTGAAGTTATATTTTTGTCTGCTTCAAGAACTTTCACCATTTCAGTTATACCAACTTTCTTTGCTTTATGGAAATATTTTGGTTCAGCAAATATTGCTATTCTATAACATTTACCATTGTTTGTATAAAGAACTATTCTGTCAATGTATTTGTATTGTTTGTGTGTGTAAACTTTGTTCTGCTTCAATTCGAAGAGATACTCGAATACGTCCATCTTTTTATTCTAAGTAAAATGTCATTTCCGAAAAATAGAAGCGTGAGTGTTTCAAAAGGTTTAATGGCGGTGGCAGATGTGAAGTTAAATTCACCAACTCAAACAAACAGTCAAAGTGTTGTTGTCAATGTCAAAGACAGAGATGTTGAAGTGGGGAAACCATACGAAGACGAAGATGGTATAACAATTGTTCCTGTAAAAGAACAACCAACATATCCTGAAGTTAGCAGAGACTTAAGTTCTGTTGCAGATATTCGAAACGACTACCAACAACTTAAAGACAAACTTCAAACTCAGGAGAAGATTTGTCAAGCTTTAAGGTATAATGTTAAACTTGGTCGAACACAACCCTGTAAAAGTGAACTCATATGTCATCGCACCTCATGAAGTTTTGAAAGAACTATTGAAACTTTTGACAGAGGCAGACGATATAAACATCAAAGAAATAGAACCCGACATTAGTTGCTGTGGTGTTTCATATAATGTCATTGACAAGATATACGTTATGAAAGGAGGTGAAACGTTGAACTTAAAGTATAGTTTCCCAGACGTCATAAAAATATTTGACGACCACAACATTTCATTAAAATTTATTTGCTAAGTAAATGGCAGAAGACATAATGGTTTATACTATTACGACTAAAAACCCTGAGTCATATAATTCTATAACAACAAACTTACAAAGTCCTCAAGGACGATATTGTAAACTAACTTAAACACAATGACGACTAAAGCCTGTTTTTGCTCTTTTGACACCAGAAGACTTTATTGTTGTGAATGGTAAAAAATACTCCTTTGAAGATACTTACTCAGATATACCACCAACAGGTTTTGTTGACTTATTTAATACTTTAAGTACGGGTGTAACATGTGCTGCAACTAGAGCAGGTTTCATTATGTTTGGATGTCCGACTGAGTTTACTATAAACGATATGAGCTATAATACAAAACTTATATCTGGTTTTTACTACCAACAGTTTCCTATAACAGGAAAAGGTGTCATAAAAGGAATGTCTATTCCATTGACTTTAAGCACACCAATCTTATATTTATTGTTTCAAACTTAGGTTCAAAGTGTTATTCGAATGTCGACAGAAACTATTATGACCAAAAGATACTTATGCGTATAAACAATACTTTCTCTGCTGGTTTGCCTATTGTTCATTCGAATGCAGAATTTTCAACCTTAGTGAACTCAAACACTTTGGCAAGTATAACGTTGACATTAGTTGACGCAAACTTTGTTCCTGTAAAACTTTTATGTCCTATGTATTTGTCAATGACGGCAGAAAGTTTCGAATTGGAAGATGCAACTGGTGAAAGTATTGTATTACAAGAACAACTTCAACAACAAATAGCTCAAGAACAACAAATGCAACAAATGGAACAAATGCAACAACAAAGTCAAGAATAAAAAAATATTTTTTTTTATTTTTATAAAAATGTACAGAATAGAGTTTCAGATTTTTATGACTTCCAAGCATTCAGAAATATGTGTCCATTTAGAGACTATAACAAAGCAGTCGAGAATTTGAAACGTTTAGTCATTTATGTCGACTCTGCCCCAGAATGTTATGTCATGAAAGAATGGGATGTTGTCTTTAACAAACCAAGAGCAACAATAGTTTGAACAAGAATGTAGACAGAAACTTAAGAAAATAAAAGTCGTACAAGTTGGCATGAAGATGTTAGATGCTTGGGATATCTTATTGTCAAAGTTAGAAGATTTTTCAGTTCGAGTGGTATAAAGTTTATACACCTTCTCCAAACTTCTATTCTATCTTCACTGGATATAAATACGAACAAGTAGAATGGAAAGAAATATTATAGAAGCTTGGTTAGACCATGTCAAAGAAATTATATGCAATGGAAACGAAAAGGTTTATGAGTATATCTTATGTTGGTTTGCAAATATCTTACAACATCCAAGTGCTAAAAATGAACTGCTCTCATTATAATTGGAAAACAAGGAACTGGTAAGAACACTTTCTTTACAGATATCTTGTGCAAACTGTTAGAGGGCTATTCGAACCGAATATGACAAACTTAGAAAACATCTGTGGTAAGTTTAACTCTTCAATAGAGAATATGAAACTTATAGTTTGCAATGAACTTCAAAGTATAGATACAACAAAAGTTTTGAACTCAGATGCTTTGAAGAGTCTTATAACAGACAAAGTTGGAGTTGTTGAAAGAATATAAAGACCAAAGAGTTTGTGAAAATGTTGCAAACTTCATTATGGTTTCAAACAATGCTGTTCCGATGAAGTTAGAAAGTTCTGACAGAAGATATGTAGTTGTCAGAACGTCAGATTCTCATATGCAAGATACAGAATATTTTGACGACTTAGCAGAAACTTTGACATCTGACTTTTACAACCACTTGTTCTCATATTTATGACATTAGATATTTCAAAGTTCAATCCAAGACAAATTCCACATACGAAGAGAGACAAACATTGTTAGAAGCAAACAAGAGTGTATATGAACTGTTCATAGATGAAACTGACTTTGAGTGTTTAGATGAAAGGTCATTGTACGATTCGTATAAACAATATTGTCAAGAATATGGTTATATGACAGCTTCTAAACGAACATTCTTGGCAAATGTCAAAAGTCTTTTAGATGTTCAGAATGGTGTATATACAAAGAAAAATTTTTCTGAGTAAATTTTAAAAAAAATATTTTTTTATCCGATAGAAAAGATGACAAAATTCATCTCAGTAAACAAGTACTGTCAGGACTTAAAGAAGAACTAGACCCATTCACATATTTGAATGTTTACTTCTACCATTTTGAAAAGTCTTCATTCAGACAAAGTTTGGAACATCGAACCAGTTAAGTTTGCTATTGTGACTAAAAATGGTGCGAAATTTGAAGACTTAGACATAGAAGGTTTGTTAGCAGTCAAAGAAAGTTTTGACAGAAGGTTTCAAACCTTAAAGAAGGCAAAGCATACAAACTTGTTATACCTTATGAACCAAAGAAAGCAGACGACTATGAATATTATGAGTC